TGATGGCACCCTCCCTTGTATTTCCTCACCTACAAATTCATTAAACCCTCCTCAAATGATCCTAATCAGATGTGCCATTTTGTTTCTGGTGAGATTTGACTGATACAGTAAAGACCTTGGTCATGGTACAAATAATAACTAATACTTACTGAGCATCTACCATATGCGAGGCTCTGTTCTAAGCCCCTTACCTACATGAGCTCATACAACACTCACAGCAACCCTATGAGGCACTATTTTTTTTAAAAAAAGATTTTATTTATTTATTTGAGAGAGAGAGCGAGAGAGCACAAGCAGAGGGGAGGAGCAGAGGTAAAGGGAGAAGCAGGCTCCCCACTGGGCAGGGAGCCCAACGCAGGGCTTGATCCCAGGACCCCAGGATCATGACCTGAGCTGAAGACAGACGCTTCACTGACTGAGCCACGCAGGCGCCCCTGAGGTAGGCACTATTATTCTCCCATCTCATAGAAGAAGAAACTGAAGCACAGAGAGGCAAAGTAGTTTGCCTAAGGTCACACAGCCTCTAAGTGACAGAGCTAAGATTTGAACCCTGGCAGCCTGACTCAAGCCCCTGCTCTCATCAACTACTCTAGATAGAAGGAGAATTTCTGTGGAAATAACACACTCTATTTCCTCAAAGTCTCTTATCCAACTCAGAGCAAGTTTTGGGGAAGTTTTGAAAAGCAAGACTTTTTCTTCACTAATAGTTCCCAGAAACTCTCGCAAGCCTTGAAGTTGACCTCTTGTTGGTGACCTTTCCCTGAAAATTCCCACGGTGCTCCTTGGGACTGAGTCTATTTGCCCTCACCTATGTGGAGTGAGGAGGAGGCTGAGGAGCTGTTGGAGGTGAGAGCCACCCCATGAGGACCCCAGAGATGCAAATCAGCCTCATATGTTTTGGGGCAATAAGTTGAGGATTTACCTGTTCATTCCTATAGCCCTGCCACAACTGAACATCTTCCAGGCCGTGAGGAGTGAAGACGGAGGAGGGGCTGTAGTCATGGAGAGCCTGGAATCTTGGCGTGAGGACTAACAGAAGCCTGACTCCAATTATGTTTTTCAAAAAGGAAGGGAAAATAAAAAGGACTGTATTTGTTCATGCAACGGAGATGTTTAAAGGTGCAGCTGGCTTTAAACACATCAGAATCTGGACCGCAAAGGATGTCACTAGGGCCTGGTCTCCCCCCACAGTGCTTGTCTCCATCCTGGCTTTCTTCCTGAGTACCACTTTGCCACATGGTGGCCCAGATGGCTATTGTGCTACCCCAAGTTTATACTGTCCTAGCTCAGCCAGTTTCGGTGAGGGGGAGACTGCCTGCTTCCCCTGACCGTGCCAACAAAAAGTCCCAGGGAGGAATTTTATTGGCCCAACTCGGGTCATGTGTTCATCCATGAACCAATCACTGTGCCTGGTGAGAGTAGGACTCTGATTGGCTAGACTAGAATATGTATTATTGGCCCAACGTGGGTCATGTGTTCATCCATGAACCAATCACTGTGCCTGGTGAGAGTAGGGCTCTGATTGGCTAGACTGGAATATGTATTATTGGCCCAATGTGGGTCATGTGTTCATCCATGAACCAATCACTGTGCCTGGTGAGAGTAGGGCTCTGATTGGCTAGACTAGAATATGTGTTCCCTCTCAAATGGGGGTGGAAAGTTGTCAGCTCCACCTGAACCCAACGTTGAGGAGTAGCTTCTTGAAGGGAAACCAGGTACTGGGGTACTAATGAACAAACAGAGGCTAGGGGAGGGGGGAGGAGCCTGCGGGCCCAAACAGCAGCGGATATGCACTCCCCAGCAGGAGTCCTGAGATCCGTGTCCACGGAGAGGAGTAGGGGGCTGGTGTAAGGACTTGGGTGAGTCAAAGGGAGACCCAGGAAGGGCAAATTTGGCAGAGGCCGCAACTAATGGATGCTGCTCAGATTTCTGGAATCTTGGCAACTTCCTTTTCAATCAGTTACTAGCCACAGGCGCAGGGTGGGACCTCATCTGGTGTCTACCTGAAGAATTCTGTCTTCACAGAGCAGGTGAGCAACAGGCCTTGTGGGGCCTCTGTGGGGATGTGGTGAGAACCTTGGGGCTGGTCCCATGGAACCCAGGCTTTGAGGGGCTCGTCCTGTTTCTCAGCAGTGGCCCAGGAAGCTGAGGGAAGCCTTTATTTTGGCGGGGGGGTGGGAGGGGGGGTATGGAAGAGCAGGGTGACTCGCAGTCCAAATCAGCATGGTAGGGTCTGAAGGATTGTTCTAGGTGTGATATTTGCATAGCCCTCTCCCCTGGGGCCCAGGGAGGCCTGGGAGTAGCCCCCAGGCTTGTTTTAGCAACAACAAATGACTAAAAATGGTGCCTGGAGTGGGTGCCCATTTGCACTCATCACTTCTACAGATGACCAAGCTGAGGCACTAGGAAGTGGTTTGCCTGGAGCTACCCAGCTGGAAGGTCCTAGGGTTGGACTTGAACACAGGTCTGCCCTCAAAGCTCAGGTTTTCAAACAGGAGCTACAGTCCTATCCAGGGAGAGGTGGAAAAGATTCTCATCCGGGAAGGAGACAGTGGAGCCTCGGGAGGAGAGGAAAGTTCAGCGGGAGCATGGTTCTGCTCTAATGAGGGAGGCCTGCAGGGATCTGGGCAGAGGAGGAAGTGATATGGCTAGAACAGTCAGCATGGCCTCCCGGAGGCTGTATTTTAAAAATAAAATAACAGTTTAATTGAGATAGAAGTCACATACCATACAATTCACCCGCTTCAAGTGTATAATTCACTGGTTTTTAGTTTGACCACAAAATTGTGCAACCATCACCATAGTCGATATTAGAACATTTTCTTCACGGCCCCCCTCCCAAAAGACCCGTGTAGACACTAGCAGTCATTCCCCCCTCCAAACCTTTGGCAACCACCAGTTGACTTTCTTTCTCTATGGATTTGCCGATTCTGGACATTTTATATAAATGGAATCCCACAGTATGTGGTCCTGTGAAGGATAGCAGGGTTCTTGTCTCTTGGAGTCGAAGAATGAATCTCAGGGACACAAAAGGGTGAAGTGAAGTGAAAGTTTATTAGGTGAAGGTGAGAACAGAAAGGACAGAAAAAAGCTCTCTAGAGTGAGAGGGGTCCCCAACGGGTTGCCCCTGGGGGCTTTTCTTGGCAGTCTTCTGATGAGAACTGACCAGGAAGCTTGTGGCCTTGAGATTCTGGTGCCATCTTAGGTTGAGCAAAGATTATTGATGACATCCTTAATGGCTCACTGCTCGGAGGTCTGGTCATTTTCTGTGATTACAATGTAGCTGCCCCAAAATATACTCCCTAACATGCAGGGCCAGGTGGTCTGGTTTGTTCCCTTTATCTCTGGTTTTGTCTGCCTCAGCATTTCCCCACATTTGGGGTTTCTGTGAGCCTGGTCCCATAGCCCCCTGCAGTGAGCCCAGTCAGAGGAGTCAGGAGCCTCCTCTCTCTCTCCCTGCCTACACCTTAACCCTTTCCTTACTCAGTACTCTGGAACTGGCTTCTTCTGGGGAGGATCTTTGCCAGGTTCATCCACGTATCAGTACTGAATTCCTTTTTATGGCCTACTAATATGCCATGGCACGGATAGACCATGTTTTGTTTTACCCACTCATCAGCTGATGGGCGGTTAGACTGTTTCCGCTTTTTCATTGACATGAACAATACTGCCATGAACATTCACGCACGAGCTTCCGTGAGAACACATGTGTTTGTTTCCATGGAACTGCTGTATCATATGGTAACTCTAGGTTTCACCTTTTGAGGAACAGCCAGACGGATTTCCAAAGTGGCTGCACCATCTTAAGTTCCCACCAGGAGGCTGCACTTAGTTTCCTGCATAGAGCTTCTTTCCTCTCTAATTTCTGCCAGGCTGATTTGGTGGAAATGTCAGGAAAGGTGGGGAGGGAGGCATGAGGGGAGCAGCAGGGCAGAGGCATGGAGGGCAAAGAGTCTTCTTGATGCTTGTACCCAGAGCCCTGGGCCTCAGTCCTGTCTGCACGCAGCTTGCGGTGTGGCCTCGGGCGAGTCTCGTCCTCTCTTTACGGCTCAGTTTCCTTACCTGTAGAATGAGGGCGTTAGACCAGTGGGTCTCAACTGGGGACATCTGGCAAAGGCTGGAGACATTTTTGGTTGTTACAGTGGACAGGTGATGCTCCAGATATCCAGTGCGTGGAGGTCAGGGATGCTGCCAAACATCTTACTATGCACAGGGCGGCCCCCATAACAAAGAATTACCTGGGCCCAAATGTCGATAGTGCGCGGGGGTCTGCGGGATCCTGGGGAGAAGCCCTGCCTGCATGAGACAGAGGTGGCCCTGTAAGGTCCACCAGTCCTGTGCAGTCACTGTGAAATGCTCTGAGGGCAGTTAGGGTTCAGGAGGCATTTGTGAGTGCCCAGGCACTTAGAAGAGAGGCCTCCTGTCGCACAGGACTTGCTGTGGCTGTCGTATCTGTGTGAGCTCACTGGCTTTCCCACTCTGATCCCAGGTAGGTGTGGTACCCAGGACAGGTGAATTGCATGCCTGGCTTGATAGATGAGCAGACTACCTTGTGAAGTAGTGAGTTCACCGTCAGTGGAGGCATCCAACAGGAAGCTCCGTGGTCACCTGTCAGGGAGGTGGAGGAGGCGACCCGCCTCTGGTCCGGGGCTGCCCCGGAGCGAGTGTCAGGCTCCTGCAGGCGGGAGGCAAGGCTGTGGCTCCCTGCGGGGCGACAGAGGGCTCCGCGCCCAGAGCCCTTGGCTGCCCCACCTGCCGGTCGGCGGCCGAGCAGGCTGCAGCCGGCAGCGCCTTCCTTCCCACGCGACGCTTCGCCCTGTCGGAGACTTCTCCCGAAGTTTCCCTCCCGGCGCTCCGGGAGCCGCCCGGGCCGCAGCCCCAGCGCGAGGAGGCGGCTTCACGCCGCTGGACGCCCGCCGCCAGGCCCGGCCCCGGGGGGGCGCGGCCGCCGGCTTCCGTGTGGCCCAGGGGGGCTCCGGGCCGGCCGCCGCCGCCGCCAGGCTTCTGACAAAACCCCCTTGACCACCAAGGCCAGCCTCTTCCTGAAAGCCCCGCTCGCTCCGATACAGGAAGTGGAAGCGAGCAAGCGCCCGAGAGCGCGGCGGCGGCGGCGGCGGCGGCGGCGGCTTCCCACTCGGCGCGGGGCTGGCGGCGGCGCCCGGCCGGGCCCTTCCCGAGGGCCAGCGCCAGGGCCATGCGGGCGCCCGGGCCACGGCGGCCCGCGCCGCCTGGCGCCTGAGCCCCTGCGTCCACCGTCCCGGAGCTGCCGGCGGCATGATCCGACGGGCCGGAGCGCCCGCGCGCGGGGACCCCGCGGGGTAAGTCCGGGGCGGGCGCCCCTCCGCTTCCCCGCCCCCGGGAGTGCTCGCAGCTCCGGGAGCGGCCCCCCGGCCAACCCGGCCTCGGGGCGTCGGGTGAGACCGAGCGCCTCCCCAAGGCCGGGCTCCCGTTCTGCGCGGACCGGGGCCGCGCTGGTGGCTGCAGGACCCGGGGACTTGGCTAAACTTTGAAGCGCAGACGTCACTGCTCCCTGGAAAGGACAGCCGGCACGCTCGGCGGCTAGGCGGCCAGGCGGGCGGGTGCTGGAAGGGCGTCTCTACCTGTCAGAGCCGGGGCGGAGGGACTGCGTGGACGTGGCCCCTTTCCCGGGCTCCTGTCCCGCCTGAACTGCAGAAGCGACCGCTTGGGGTCCGGATCCCGTCGGCCTCCCGCACCCGCCGCTCCGCCTGCGCCCCCGCGCGCGTCCTGGGACGCTGAAGCCCAGCCGGGCGTGGGGTGGGGGACCGGGGTCCCCGTAACTTCGGGTGCTCGCCGCCAGGCAGCTGACCGGTCCGCCTAGACCGCGGACCCACCGGGATCCCCTCCCCTGTCCCTCAGGCGGGTCCGGGGTCGGTGATCTTTGGACCGGCCTTTGTCGAGCCTGGTGCTTGGGGAGGGTCCAGGGCGCACGGGCTGCGCGGGGCTCTGCGGGATCCCGGGGAGAGGGCGCACAGCTTGGCGTGCGTGAAGCTGAACTTCTTTTTGGGAAGTTTGGGAACTGGCTTTCAGGAGCGGTCTCTGGTGCCTCGTTTTAGGTCCCCCTCCTCCACCTAAGAACCCGAAGCTGCTTCTGGACATTGCTAAGGGCTGCGGTCTGGGGAGAAGGTTCCCTCGCCCTGCCCTGCCCAGCCCGGCGGGCGTCCCGGGGAAACTTTAGGGGGTACAAGAGGCTCCAATTCCGGAGGCAGATTCTTGGGAAAGCCTCTTAGAACCTTCTGGGTGCCGAGGTTTATGGGCGCCCCCACCCCCACCCCCAGAGCTGCCATTTCTGGCTTTTTGGTCTAAAAATCCCGGGCCTACTTCTGCGATGGACACCCAGCTGCTGCCTGGCCTAGCTTCATGACCTCAGCTCCCAGGGCCTCAGTTCTCTACTCTGTAAAGCAAGAGGAATGGGCTGATCTTGTGCAGTCCTGGATTGGGGGACAGCTGGAGGTGACCGGTTCGCACTCTGGTGGGAAGGGTGGCATGGAGGGCCCTTAAACTCTACTGCATCTGAATGCCTCCCTCCTCCCTCTTCTCCCATCGCTGCCCCTCCCCGGAAATTCTGCCTGGATGCTTTCCCTTGGAAATGACCTCTGCAAAGACAAATGTCATCCGGTGGGAAGAATTGGAAATTATGTTGGGGAAGGGGCCCCTTAGGGGCAAGTGTCTACCACATCCAGTATTGCAGGGAGGAGCTAGGAGGAGTTTCCCAGGGAGGAAGGGGAGGTGGGGGGCCAGGGTCCTGACCTCTCCAGCTTCCCTTTCCCCACCCCCCCACCCCCCAGGAATGACCTTGCCTCGCCCACTTCCTCTTGCCTTTCTTTGTTCACTACTGGGTCAGTTACTTAAGCTCTCGATGCCTCAGTTTACTTATCTATAAAATGAAGATGAGTAATAGTAACTGCCCTCACACAGTCGTTTTAAGGATTAAATGAGATAATGCATAAAGAGTTTTGCACATTGGAGCGCCTGGGTGGCTCATTTGGTTGAGCATCTGCTTCTTGATTTTGGCCCAGGTCCTGATCTCAGGGTCCCAGGATGGAGCCCTGGGTCAGCCCTGCCTGGGGCTCCCCGCTGAGTGGGGAGTCTGCTTGAGATTCTTTCCCTTTGCTCCTCCCCCTGCTTGTGCATTCTCTTGCTCTCTCTCTAAAAATAAATAAATCTTAAAAAAAAAAAAAAAAGTTTTGCACATTTGCCTATAAACTCTTAATAGTTGTTTTTGATAATAGTAGTTATCTCTGTTTACTAGCTATTTAGCCTTGGACAAGAGACCTGGCCTTTGCCTCATTCATAAATTGGGGATAATAATAACACCCGCTTCATAGGATTGCTATGAGGTTTGAATGAGTTACTATTTAAGCAGCTGCCTATGGGCAGCTAAGGGTTAACACACCAGCTCAGGCCTGCTTAGAACAGTGAGGGCACATTCTAAGGAATATTGGTTTGTTGCTAAAAACACTTTATTTAAGAGGACCTTTTGTGTTGGAAGGGTTCCTAAATAGTATCTCACTGAACCTTGGGCCTGGTACAGGAATCCCTTTGACAACATTCCTGGAAGGTACTTGCATACCTCCCGGGACAGGGAACTTGCCACCACTGTGGCAGTCCTTCTAACAGGCACATACCTAAGCAAGAAATTCCTGAACTTGAGTCGCGGTCTGCCTCCCACTAACTGCTACCATATGAGACCCTGTTCTCCCCTCGGGAGCCCCGTCCTTCTTGACTCTCCAGTCCTATAAGGCAGTTCTCAGGTGCACCCCCACACATCCCCTGTTCCCTGGGCTGCACCTCCACCTGTGTTTCAGCCCAAAGATGATGAGGAGTAGTCATTTAAGACTCCTCACCCCCAGGCCACCCCCAGACCCTGCTGACCACTCAGGGCTGAGATCTGAGTCCTAGGCTGAGGATTCTTCTTTCCGCTTGGCTTCCAAAAGCCCCCTCCTTCTCACTGGCCGGAGATGACGTTCAGACAGCCAGGGGAATGCCTGCTACCCTCATCCCCCTGGGAGCTAGGATGGTGTCACTTGGGTGTCAGCCCCCTGGAAGAGGAGTGTGAGGATCTTGGCAGCTAAGCTCTATCTACTTCTTGTTGAAAATGTCAGCCGGGGAGAAAGAAAAGGCAGACAGGCTGCCCAGTATCCTCAGTGCATATACTTTTTCTCCTTCTGTTCGACAAATAGTGTCTGCATTGGGAGGAGGGGGGCAGCATTAAAGCAAGCCCCTGCCTGCTTGCAGCTGATGTTCTCAGAAGAAACAGAAAATCAGGGTAAGGGGTGTGGGGACCCCAGAGGGGCTGTTCTGGAGCAGGTGGTCCGGGAAGGCTACTCCAAGGAGGTGGCATTTGGGAGAGGCCCGGGGGAAGTGGGAGAGTAAGGCAAGTCCCTGGGGGATGCTGCTGGCATGTCGGGAACCTCGAGGCCCGGGAACCTGGAGTGTGGATATGAGGACAGAAGGTGGTCTGGTGGGGTAATGGCTTTGCAGAGTGCTGGGGGCCACAGGTGGGGTTTGCACAGATGGGCCTTATTGCAGACAGACTGTAGGGGGAACAGAGTCAGGGAAACTGCAGGGAAGGAAGCTCTTCTGTAGGCAGGAGAGAGGGCTGTGGGCTGGGCAGCTGGGCAGTGAGGGAAGAAGCCGGAGCCGCAGGATCTGCTGATGAATTGGAGGTGAGGTGCGAGCGGGAGAGGCGTTGAGGATATCTCTGGCGAAGCTGTGACCTGCCGAGAGGCCAGGTGTCAAATTGTGCAGGGGTCACTGAGGACGTGGACACTCAGAGCCCACACTTTTATATGTCCAGTAAATTGAGAGTCTGCTTAAGATTTTATTTGAAAAAGGATTCCACTCTTGGATCTAATCCAATCCCCTAATTTGACAAGGGAAAAGAGTCCCAGAAAGAGGAAGTGACTTAGCCAAGGTCTTAGGAGCTGGAGGTGGGGCTGGGCCTAGAAATCGGGTCTCCTGAGCCTTGAGCCTGCAAGGGGCTGCCTGGGCCAAGCCCCGGAGAGCCCTGGATTTCTGCCTCATGACTGACATAATGCAGGGGTCCTGCTGAACCCCTTGAGAGTCCCTCAGGCACTCTAGGCTCTAAGACTGGAGGTTCTTCTAGGCTGGGGCCTACCCAGAGCAGTGATGGATTCAGGGTTCCAGATCCCAGCTTCAGCTCTGCTCACTGACCTGGGCTTCCTTGTTTCCTTGCTTTCAGGGGCTAAGCTCCCAGGTGATCCTTGCTGGCGCTCAGCTGGGAAACCCACTCCCTTCTAGACACTAAAAGAGGCTCAAGCCTGCCCTTCTGGGCCCTGAGAAGCCCCAGTGCACCAGCTAGGAAGCATGTAGGGGGTGGGGGCTCAGGGTCTGCTTGGGACAGGGGGGTGCCCGCACATTTGTCCCCGAGACCCCCCTTCTCATCTCCCCTACCACGTGACAGGACCCATCCTGGGCCTGGGTCCCTGTGTAGTGATCTTTACTGAAGTTGAAAACATTGAAAGCTGAAATTCTTCATTAAAATGAAGACACCTGCATTTTAATCCAGGAGATAAGAAATAAAAGATGGAGACCCACCCAAAACTAGGTATGATATTTGAAGGGGAGACCCACCCCGGTCCCCTCACTGCAGTCTCAGGCCTCCCTGGAGCTCCATTTTATAGACAGGCATCTGAGCTGGCCTGCAGTGACTCCCAGCCAAGGAGCCAGAGCGGAGAGAAGGGAGGGATGTTGATAGACGGCCACAAACTCTGTCCTTCCCATCCCATCACAGATTCCATCTGTCCCTTGAGTGAGGGTCGTCCCCAGTTCGTGCCATCCAGGCAATGACAAATGAGCAGACCTGTGTAGGCAGCATTGAAGAGGGAGGCCAGGTTTGAAGAGGAGAAGTGTCTGAGCAAAGCTTAGAGGTGGGAAAGTTTAGGGGGGGCTCTCTGTGGGGAGGCTCTACCCCTCGGTTATCAGAACAGGGGAGGTAAGTCTTGACTGGGAGACAAGGGAAACGACCTGGCGTAGGAAGGGGGCCCATCCCCAGGGCCTGGGTTGCTCTAGGGGTTTGAAGCACCTGTATGCCCAGAAAGAGCCCTAACCTGGGGGAAGCGACTCAGAATAGTCCCAGACTTCCTGTTTGCCCCCAGCTGTCTGCCCCCATTCAGGAGTCACCTTCAGAAGGGAGTGAGGGCCCAGGAGTCATCTTGTCCTTGGCAAGTTGGCTTAGAGACAGTGAGTGCTCTGGTGGCCAGCTCTAGAACTTTTGGCTCTACAACTATTACCCAGTGACTTTTCTAAACTGTATATCTCCCCTTGATCTCATCCT